ATAATTCTTTAGTATATTACTTGTGTGGTGTAGAAGAGAATAGAAGTGAATCATTTATTGCTTGCAAACCAATGATGGTAAGATGATGTCATGGGGTAGGACTGGATAAGTCTGACTTCTTCCTACTCCATTCAAGCATGTACTAGGTATAAGCAAATTGATATTGGATTAGCATTTGTTGGATATGTGTAAAATTATGTGTGTTGACATATCAACTGTCTTTACATGCTTGAAAGAATAAATAAAAATAAAAAAAAATATATGGGAAGGCATTACAGTGACATTACAAAGTTCTTGCGGATATGGGATTAGTGGCTTCTGTAATGTTGGGCCCTGTGTCAGCAATGATGTCGTGTACTCCACGTGTCACTTAAAACTTATGTCTGATATTTTTTATCACACGCAGGATGGAGACATAATAGCACCTGAGCTGACTCCTCTCAAACCCAGCTGGTCAAAAAACAACGAAGGCGAGGATGGTGAAGAAATAAACGACATTAAAGTAAAGAAAGTCAAAACTAAGCTTTTTGACTAAGAAGAAGAGGATAAATACCTCACTGTTACCTGGTAGATGAGACGGTGTTGAGTCAGAATTATTTTTATACAAGGCGAGTGTTTGAATGAGCGCAGCAAAACTGAAGACTAAATCATTTTCACAGCAAAAAAGAAATGGTTTCATAAAACAGGAAGCATTCAGGGCCTGTACTCAGGGTTTTTACCAAAATAGAGCCTTGTTCAATGTTACACACATATCTTTTAGTTTATTTTAATCTAGTTTTTATTTTTGATTCATTTGGTGCAAGTGTCACATTTTAAGTGAAATTATTGTTTTATGCCATGAGCTAAGCAAAAGTCTCCAATCATATATAATGATCAATAAATCATGGTGAGTTTACATGATTTACTCTGAAACTGAACGTGTACACAATATCGGTGTTTCTACAGCATGCACAGGTGTGTTAGGGGGCAACGCCTGTATTCAGCTTTGATATGCCCTTTTTCTTCAAATAAGTGTCAAGCTTTCAACAAATCTGCGATCAAAGTAAATATAAACACTTGTGTATTTTAAAGATTTTACCTGGAAATTTGGTTTGGCGTTTGTTTGAATGTACTTATTTTCCAGAGGTGTTCTTTGGTTGAGTGTGTTTTGTGGTGCTTTATTTCTTGTTTTCACTATCACAGCTTGTCCATTGCTGTCTGCACCTTTATAATTGTGTGCAAACTTTAAAATGGTATTTTTGCTACAATTTAAAATGGTTTTCTCTTGCCAGAATGTGATGCAGCCTCATAAAATGTCTCTGTTTTGCTTGTGTAGAGGGGGAAAAAAAAGTTTCTGAAAGAATGAAAAGATCTACCACTAGAGGTTTTTCCTGTTGAAACCCATTTGAAAATAAAACTTTCTCTCAGTTGAAGACTCATGTAAGTAAGTCTGTTGAACACCAGGTGGAGGCAGAGACTCACGTTAGACTAAATGCATTTTGCCAAATAGGATGATGCATCTTGTCTCTTATGTAATATTTTTGTGTTCTGGCCTCCAAATTTAGTTTGTATTTCCCAAATGTTCTGTATATGTTGGATCATAACGAAACAAACAGCACTAGTGCAATGTAATTATTTAGGTACACAGTTATTAATATTGTCGTTATAATGAGTATTGAAATATTTTGGAAACATCAGAAGTAAATACAGAGTGGTGAACAGCAGCCTGTTTGTGGTCAGTAGTGGTGGTCAGGTCGATCTATAGTATCGATGCCAACCTTGGTATCGGTATCGATCAATACTTGTATGATGGGATCGATACTTGCTTATCAATTTCTTTTTTCTACATTGAATACACAATCCCTGTTACACCGTAGTGGTTGTGCAAACACCGCTCCTCTAGTGATGGCTGTCTGACACTGATGCTCCGAAACTCGAAGCCGCATTTTCCTTGAACCACAAAGCTTGCTTTGGTGTAGAAAAAGACATTGCCAACAACAACTCCCCTGCTGTGAGTTGTTGTCGTGCAGTTAACTCGATGACGTTCTGCTGGCTGCATGATGGCAGAGAAAAAGAGGAGAGCTGTTTGGAGCTATTTTACAGCTGCAGACAAAAACCCTGCAAACTGCGATGTCTGTGGACAGAAGAGAAGCCAATTCAACGAGATGGAGACCCACTTCTTTGGTGGAAAACAAATGAGGCAACAGTCCCCTTACTGAGCAAGCTTGACAAGAAATACCTGGGAGTAATTGCAACATCTGTACTTGCAGAAAGGATTTTCTCAAAGGCAGGGCAGTTAGTAAGTCAGAGAAGAAGTAAAATAAAAGCGAAAAATGTAACCATGTTATTGTTTCTGAACATAAACCTACCTCAACATGGGGACAGAGATCAAAAGGGGGCCTCAGCCGAAGGTCATGAATGAGAGCCAATAGTAGTTTTTGCTTTTGTGTAGTTATTTGCACTTTTTAATTTGCAATATTGACTTTATTTTTCACAAACAATTGTGTGTAATGCAAGCAAATTCTTTGTTACATTATATTGTTGATAGTTATATTGTTATATTTATGCACTTTTTAATTTGCAATATTGACTTTATTTTTCACAAATCAAAAACTTTTTTTTTAAAACATTTCAACTAAAAATTTTAATTTAAAACATTTCAACTTGGTTAATAAAAAGTATTTTTTTTATTGGCCTAAAATTGTTATCTTGTGTTTTATTATGATCATAATCGCAATCTGTACAATCTGTACCACTGTTTGGAACACTGGCTTTCTCTAATGCTCATTCAACCCATAGTACATTTAAAATCTGTTTTTGCATCAAAGGTACATGTGACCTTTTGTCAAGTTAAACATTAGCTTAATTTGGCTTTTTTCCCAAACATGAGGTGCTCTTTGTATCCCTAAGTGCTGTTATTGAGATTATCACCACTTACTTTTTGTTTAAAAGCAGTTTATTGTACTTTAACTTTAGGCCCCTGGGTCATCTCGGTCTGCCAAGAGGTAGTCTTGCACTTCAAGTAGGCCTGGTGTGGTTAGTTTCACTTCTTGTATGCTTATTAGATTTTTCCGGACATTGGGAGGCCTCCCAGCAGGGGAATTGATCCCACTCCTGCAAGGCATTATGCCACTGATGCAGGGAGACTTTAGACAGCTTCATATTCACATTGTGGTTGGACTTGGTTTACATGGTACCAGCCGGGGGTGCATTTGGGTTCTTGAGAGGGAGCCTGGCGGAGACAGATGACTTGGATCACTCTTTAAAAAAAAAAAAAAATCTTGTCGACACCCGGCTTGGGTGAATTTTCACTATTGACACAGGTTGATGCCATATTGAATGTATCATTACTAAGTTTTACTTTCTAATAGCAAGATTATACTGTGGGCTGAATTTTCTAAGGATAACAGGTGTTGTATGTATTTCCTTATTTATAATTGTTTTGAACATAGTTTTTATTTAATATCATTTTAGGCTACTTGCAATGCTTAAGACAATTATGTTTGTTTTTTTTCCACTTTCAAAAAAGGTCTACATTATCCTTGTTTTTTTCATGGAATTGCATGACGCTGTTTGAAATTTCCCCTCCTTGAACCGCCACCTTATTGTGGTGGAGGGGTTTGAGTACCCGAGTGATCCTAGGAGCTATGTTGTCGGGGGCTATATGTCCCTGGTAGGGTCTCCCAAGGCAAACAGGTCCTGGGTGACGGGTCAGACTAAGAG